TATTATAACAGGGTTTGGCTGCGTGTACTGAAAAAAGCCAAGTGTCTTAACCTAACAAATTTCAATAAGTTGAATGTTTTGGCCATTAACTTATGACTTGAGCCTCTCGAAACTAGCCTAACTTGTTCAGATTTTTCTGCTCGTTCGGTTCATGTGTCACTCGGATTTTTGAAATAGAGAACAGAACAAGAAAAAATTAAAATATGATAAAAGTCTACTTTTCGATTTCTTTTTCTGGGGCTTTTTTGTATAAAATCGGTAACTCACTCATTTTTTAGACTCTAAAGTTGAAAAACTTGGGTTTATGGGGAACTTTGAACGCTTTATCTACTGAGATCATAAAAATTGTTTTAATTTTGATCATGTTACGGGTACTTTGAGTGATGTTTAGTATCCCTTACCAATCCTCCCTTAAGATATCCCTAAAGAACAAAAAAGTAGAGTATCATGAACACTGTTACAAAAGAATTGCTCAATGTGTTGAATGAAACTGTTTTCTTGCCTCCTGAAATTTTTTGAAAAAACCTGAAAAATTTTAGGCGTTCACTTGAAAAACCTGGCAGGTATTTCGAATTTTTCACTCTCACCCCTGCTTTTATGCTCTATCCAATGGTATCAATTTTAATAAGTAAAGATGTTGCTCTTTTTTTGAAATATATGGTTTGCACTTTCAGCTCTGAATTAATGCAAAAACTCTTTCGAACTTTAGAGATCTGCTGAAGAAAGAGATTTCAGTGTTTTATGAGTGGCACACGGTTATTATTTTTACAATTCACGAACAATGCTTTGATGATGTATAAAATTGGTTAAAATTTCAAGGTTGTGTTTATTTGTTGGGGCTATTGGCCACTGGACATATTAAAAGACCCAATACAGAAAACAAAAAAATAAATACAGAGAAGCAACGGAAACAAAAAAAAAGAAAGTGAAACAACAAATGAATATTTTTTTTTATAAACCAGTTTTTAGCTTTGGTTTTTTCTTTGGGTCCTGTGGTCTATTTCATGTCCAGTTGCTCACTCCAGAGATTGAGGGAAAGCTACGGTTGGTGATACCCTTCAATTTGTTTCCCGCAGCAAGAAATTGGTAGGGGGGATTTCGTTGTGAATCGGAAAATATAGTTTAAAAGCCAAGAACTATATTTGTCTCCCGTTCATTGTTCACATTAAACTAAAAAGTGTATCATCGTCATCACTATCGTCTGAACTTAAATCCGAGAGATCATTAGCATCTTTAAAATAATTAATATAACTATTTGATGATGAATATAATAATGTTGATTCATATCTTGCTAAACCTAAATATCAAATTATACTTGCTACATGACTACAACAACCGAATGTTCTGTTTCCATTTGGACATTGACAACAATAACCAGCAATTGTTTTCTTGCTATATTCAACTACTACACGGCCATTCCACGTAAAAGTCCACTTTTACGTAAGTCCGTGACGTTTTGTGAGATAGATAACTCTTCAGCCGAGCAACGTACAGGATTGGGAAACGTCTTATTTTGTAGCTTAAAGATTTT